CTGATTTGTGCCCTTGGAGCAGCTGTCCACCCCACTGCAGGCAAGGTCTCCACTTGCAAAGGACAATTTCCTAATTACACCTGTTAATGGGGCTTCATTTGCTTCCGACGGACACCTCGGAGGGGAGGGAGAGCGCTGGGTGTCCCCCTCAGCCCCAGCCCCGCACACGGACCGCGTGCCAAATTTCTAATGTTTTCATCACCGTTAACGAGCAATTATTAGTGGAGCCCGGCCAGACGAGACGCTGTTCCCATGCCCCCGCTTCGCCACCAGCGAATTAAACCAGCCCAAGATTAAAATTCAAAACTTCTTTCCATCAGGAGTTTAATCCCATCGAGGCAGGTTCTTCCAGGATCGTCATGAGATACAAAATCCTGCGAGTAGGTAACGGCGCCGTTACGGATGGGGAAGAGCAGACTGCAGCCCTACACCCTCTCGAAGACCCTTATGGGAAGAGGGTGCCTTCGCCAACCAGCACCCTGAGGTCAGGCTCCTTCAGTGCCGAGTTTTAAAGGTGGCAGGGAAAATATTTACTGATTACTCAGAGCTTATATAACCCGCTGGAAATCCTTGTGCTGGGGGTTTGGCAGAAGTAAATCACGAGGATGACAAACTAACAACCTCCCTCCTCTAAATTATCTACTGAAGCTGCAAATTATAACCCTTTCCTGTGACCAAACTTATTTCTTTCCTCTTGCAGAAAGCCCCGGAGCATCCCCCAGCGTATGCCAGGGAGATGTGAGACGTTCCTGAAACCGGGGAGCCACATTTTCCTGACGTGTCTGCCCCAGTCAAGAGGACGGACACACACTTCAGTGGCCAGGAGCTCATTTGTTGTGGCAGCAGGGTCCCAGCAAGCCGTGCCAAGTGGTTTTTTTCACCTTACAGGCTCATTCCAGGGGGAAAAAAAACAGCTTGTTAAGGAAAAACAGCGGAGAAAGACTTTCTGCCTATAGCAAGAAAATAATTAAGAGCCCAAGAGAGGGTTAAAAATCCCTTTGAAGAGGAGATGTGGGAAAAAACTCACTCTTGCAGTGACCTGTCCAGGTCCTCGGCGGTGGCCGTCCCCAGGTCGGAGTCGCAGGAGAGCGGCTCCTCGCTCCGCTCGGGACTGCGGGCGCCGGGAGCCGGGAGGAGGCTGTCGGAGCCCAGGCTGGAGGAGAGCTGGGACGAGCTCGTGGTGTTAAGGCTCAGCGAGGACGACGTGAGCTTGGGTTTGCTGCTGGCTTTGCCGATGGGTAGAACGGAGGGTTGAATCTCGATCTCATCCGACCCGGATGATTGAGAGATGGAACCCAGCGATGCTTTTCTGCGGGGTTCGGATGTCGAGGACGTGAGGGGCTCCAGCAGCTCTGAAACAGGACACAGACCCGACAGGGACAGAGGGGTGATAGTCCACTCGTTCAACACCGCTGATTTATAGGAGAGCTCGAAAGTTAAGGACGTCAAGCCCTGCAAGTAGCTAAGGAGAAACTCGCACTCTTCGGCATCCAAGAGCAGAGCGGTCGCTTGGTAGTATTCCAGCAGCCGGGACTTCTCCTGCAGCAGCAGCTTCAAGTAACACTCCACGAGAAACCCAGCCTCAGCCAGGCTCGGCAGCGGCCGACGTCCGTGTTGATAAAAATGAGTTGTTCCAGCTCTGAGACAGTATTTCTGGGGAAAAAGAGGAAAAGAACAGATGAGGATGTGAGCAGCTCTGTTTGCGGTCCGTCATGGGGTGCAGGAGGGGCACATTCTCCATCAGGAACTGCCCAACCTGCTCTGCTGCGGGGAGTTTAGGAGTTGGGTCAAAAAAAGCTGTGGAAAAATCTCTTTCCCCTGTAGAAAAAAAGAGCTCCTGAACTCCCCAAAGCTAAATAAATTGGTAGCAACCCCAGGCACCCCTGGGGTGCCTCTAGGCCCTCCTCCTCTCTCTAGCTGGAGACATCTCCCACGCATTGCTCGCCCTGGACCATGGAAGCAGAGCTTTTCCTGCTGTCCCTGTGTGGTGGTGGCACACGCTCTGCTTGGACACTCCTTGGTGACAGCCGTGTGTCTAAACTCTAGCTGCAAATTTAAAATCAGCCAAAACGCAGCGAAAAGTGCTGTGGCAGCCGAAAAAAACCCAGACTGGGTCAGGTTGAGCTCCTCGAGCAATCTCAGCCTCCTGATTTCAACCATTCTTTCCTAAAATCCAGCAGCGACCCCACACTCCCTAATCCTCCCTGGCCTCAGCTCACGTCAGTGCTGCAAAAGCTACAAAAACCAGAGCAAAAGTTTTGTAAGATTTTTTTTGTTGTTTTTTTAAATCTGTCTCTTGAGAAAGAAGAGAAAAACCCTTCAAAGGGCACAAAAATATCCCCCGTAGCACGTGGAAGAGCTATTTTTATCCGCCCTTTCATAATTTAAGAGTTGTTGATGGAGTTGGATGAGGCTTTCAAAACTATTTGCGTGTGGGTTGTTATTTAGCGCGGGAGGACTCTGCTTAGGGAGTGGCTCAGAAAAAAAACAGTAAATAATGAGTTACCCAGGTGAGACCTCAAAGCTCACACATCAGGTCAGTGATGTTCATCCCAGCTGGGACACGGCGAAACGGAGGCTCACCATGCCCAGGTCAAGAGAGAGACCAGACCCTCGCCCCGTGCATGCCGTAACCCACCGCTGCGGTATGGCAGTGCGGTCACCCGGGTCCCACTGGGCACACCGAGTCCCCATATACAGCCTGGCACCCAAAAATAAAGAAGAAAAGGGGTGTGCCCTAAGCTGGCAGCAGAGTTTCATTCCTTACGTGTTTGGGGACATCAGTTCACACCTGAATGGCGCTTTACAACCTTGCGGATGCTGAGAGGGGCCACGCTGAGTGCCCAGCCCTGCATCGCTTGGCATCACTGGCACGCTTTGCTCTCCTACCTGCATCTCCCAGCAGTCCCGGGCAGCCCCCTGAGCCACCCCATGAGAGCATCTCTCCCTCCGACTGAAGGGACTGAGCACATGGGATGGGGTAGACACGTATCTTTCCATCAAGCCACCCTCCTGTTCACCGTTCCCTGAATTTTGGCTTTTGCACCAAAGAGAGGTGATAAAAATGTGCGTGCAAATGCCCTTCTGCAGGGCTGGGCACTCACCGATGGGTGATGCTCTTCAGCAGACCCCAGAACACCGGCTGGGGAAGCGGTCCCCGACCTCCTGCTTTCTTTCCTTTCCCCCCACTCTCCATCTTTATGTGCTTCGCCTTCAGCCCGTGCACGAAGATGGCTTCCAGGGCGCTGCAGAGGGTGTTGGCGTTCCCATCGTCACTGGTTACGACGGCGTCCGAGGTCACGTACTGCTTCTGCAACGCCTTGATGGCGTTCACCAGTTGCTTCTTGATCAGCTGCAGGGCAGGAGGTAGAATCAGAGACTGGTTTGGGTTGGAAGAGACCTCAAAGATCATCTAGTTCCAACTCCCCTGCCATGGGGTTCCAACTCCCCTGCCATGGTATGCGCTTGTGTTACTGAAAACATAAGTCTCAGGAAAGATTTAACATAAAAGGGCTCGAAACCTGCAAGATTTGTGCAGAGCAAAGCACCACGTGGCTCCAGGTCGGGAGCACCGCGACCGCTGAACTGGGACTCACGCTCTTGGCATTACAGTTCATCTGGCTTTTTTTTTTTTTTTTTTAAAAATGAGTAATTTATGCCATTTTAGCTGCTGTTCCAGTGCCCAGCTGGGGTTGCCTTTACAGCACGCAGCGCTTCCTCTGCAGACACCACATTGCTGAAGAGGATGGGGTAAAAAAATGAAGAGGCTCTTTCCAGGCACTTTGTTTGGGGGAAACGCAGGGATTAAATAAGCAAGGGCGATAACGGAGACACTCGAAGGAGGTAACCCATAATAAGGGCTGCAATTCCACTTGAACTCGTGCAGATCAGCCCAAGCAGCATGTGACGCGCTAACCAGTCCCGCCAGCAGAAATCAAAGCCATCGATCTCGCTCCCAGCAGCTCGTCTGTGCTGATTAACCCACGGGCGTTGCTGGGCCCCCCCTCAAAGAGATGCTTTTGGAAGGACAGGTTGGATTTAGCTGCTGCCTTCAGAGAGCCTCGGTGGGCTTTGAAGTGGGAATATGGGAATTTTACCTTCCAGCAGCTTTGTTTCCCTCTTTATCACACCAGAGTTGAAAAGAGGCAAGTTCAGTGAATTTAACGATTCCACGCCGGTGGAGAGGAGGGATTTTTCGAAGCGAGCCGAGCCCGGATGTCTCAATCAACCTCATTTAAAATGAAAGTTGTGCTTCCCAGCAGGCGTTTGGCAAACGCTGTGAATTCAGCTGGGACTCCAGCAAAAAAATTCACGTTTCGGCATCAATCACGCGGCGTTCGACGCCGACCGGCACCAGCTGCTGTGA